ATTTCCCCAAGAAGCATTTGGGGTGGGAGCTTCAGCACTGCCAACACTTAAGGTTTTCCGATGGCATCCTCGGTGTTAGGAAGGTTTCCTGAACACCAGCTACTTGCCAGACTTGCTCAGTAATGCACTGATGTAAAACTAGAGTTTAATTTTACTCTGATAAAAATCATAGAATAAAATCATAGAATTTGTCCCTGTTAAAGTCATAAGTTTAATTTCTCTGTGTTAAAATTAAAAATCATTGAATACTTAGATGATTGGTCTTAATAAAAGATTATAAAAGGTTTTTCTTTATGTTTTATGTAATCAGCCTAGGAGGCAAAGATATATGTCTTATGAAATATTTTCTGTATTTCAAATTGTCTCTGGCCTTTGATCACTTTGAAAAACTAAGTCTTTTCAATATTAAAAGAGCTAAGGTTTATGTTATTGTTTGCAACTATGCAATTTTCTGTATTCACCTTCAAAACCTTGAATAACTGGAAACATGGATGCATATTACATTGATGCCAAAAATATTCACTTATAAGAGCAGTTTAGCATTAAAGAATTTTTAACATTAGTATATTTCTAATTTTCTATGACATACTTGTTTTATTATTGTAATGGAAATATTATTTTATTACAACGCATAAGCATACAGTTTATATGTATATCCGTGTGACACTCTTGTAGAGTATGTGGTTAGTAACTTTTTCTTTGCTCCACCTGCATTCTGTTTTGTTGGCTACTCTTTGCAACATTCAGAGCTTCTCCACCCCACTCTTTTGATGACCTGCTTTGACAGGGTCTAGGACCAGGAATTCATTACCTATAGTAGAATTTCCAGTGATCTCCTCTTGGGGGAGGAGATGCAATTGTAGGGCATGGAAGGTATTTCTTTAAGTGCTTATTTGGATGAAGTTTATAAACAGCACATAATATTCCAAATAAATTAACTTTGCTCAGTTAACTTGTTTTGTCAGGAAAGCAATTTGCATACAAATTGAAATAACAAACAAGGGCAGAGAGAACAGAAAAAAATAGCTGCTTTTATTTTTACTTTACATATGATTTTAAATGCCTGTACAATGTGGTTCTTATTGTATTTTCATTTGGTTCTGTGGGAGATGTTATCCTGATGGAGATTTTGGTGGGACTGAAGCCCCATCACACCTTGACACCGGTTGGCAGAAGAAGTATTTCATAATCTGGCAAGAATACCAGCAATCTGTTTTCACTCTGACACTGCTTCTTAATTGCATTAGAACTGTAACATGCAATGAGAACCACAACTCTGTTTTGCAACCCCTAAATGTCAGGTTAAGATATGAGTGAAAGATTGTGTACTCAAGTTAATGGATACTTTAGAGAAACTGACATTTCTTCTTAGGACAATATGCACAGTAGAGATGATATCAGCACCGAAGTCAGCTTTGGGTGGGAGTAGCAATTACTGCAAAGTAACGAATTTGAATTGTTTTCTGTTTCCAAGTCACCTGGCTCAGGACTGAAGAGTTAAAGATAAAGCCAAAACTTGGAAACAAACCAGATGTCCTTCAGTGGGAAAATGGTTAAACAAATTGTGGTGGATCCATACAATACTATTCATCCCTAAAAAGGAACCATCTTGGTGCATATAACAATTTGGCTGGCTCTCAAGGCATTATGCCAAGTGAAAAAAAAAGCCAGTATCCAAAGGTCACATGTTGCATGATTTCATTTACACAATACAGAGGCAGAGACCGCATTAGTGATTGCTAGGGGTTAGGTTCCAGAAGAGTTGGGGCACGAGGTGGAGTGGTTGTTGACTACAACAGCACAAGAGAAGTTTTTTGTGGCAATGACAGTTTTATATCTTAATTGTGGTGCTTGGTTACACAATGTACATGTGTAATAAAACTGCGTTGAACTACACACACCCAGAGTGCAGGTAAAACTCATGGGTCTGAGTAAGTTCTATGGATTGTAGCAAGGCTAATTCCATGGTTTTGAGAGTATGCTGTAGTTACGTAAGATCTTACTTTTGAGGGAAACTGAGTGAAGAATACATGGGGCCTCTCTGTACTATTTTTGCAGTTTTCCATTAATCTCTAATAAAAAGTGATTTGGAAGAAGTATTAATTTCCAAGGTTCGAGGAAAACTGTTCAGAAGTAGTGGGAGATGTGCGTGTGTTTCCTATGGGAGGAGAACGGGGAAGTGCTCAGAGCTGAGCAAGGTGCTGGGTGGGCCAATAGCTTCCTCGCCCTGGGACTAATGACTCTCAGGAAGCCATTATTTTAGTCAGGTTTCAGCTCTCTGAAACTGATTATACTCTCTGAAAGAAATTCACCAAATAATTTACATTTGACATGAATTCATAGTGACTGAAATTAATGTTATTACTTATATTTCTATAAAAATTACAAATAGGATATTTAAGCTTGAGGAACTACAGTAACCCAGTGGGCCTGTTAAGGGGCTGTGAGTATGAGTTTCTTGCTTTGTGTAAATGTACGGGGAAGAAAGAAAGGAGAAACACTGTCCAATTTTCATAAATTCATACTATAAAGTCTATAGCCAAGTTTTGCATCAATGAAGGGATTGTTAGACTTTCTGTCTACTTGGAGCTGTTCCAGATATGTCAAACACAACAGTAAAAAATGTGTTCATAATTGACCTATTTTTCTATCTTTATTGAGATAGGCTTATAATTGACATATAACATTGTGTAAGTTTAAGATGTACAACGTGTGGCCTGATACACTCACGTATTATGAAATGTTTACACATGAGAAAACCTCAGTTAACAAATCCATCTCCTCACACAATCGCTACTTTGTTGTTGCTACCGTGAGGACACGGGAGCTCTGCGCCCACAGCACCTTCCAAGTGCTCAGGGGAGCAGTGCCGACAGCAGTCGCCGTGCTGTAGGCTCCATCTCCAGCATGTTTTCATCTCATGACTGAACCTTTGTCTTGGAGTACCTTTGCCCCATTCCCCCCACCTCTCATTCTCCGGCAACACCATCGTACTCTCTGTTTCTATGAGTTTGATGTTTTTATATTCCGTGCATAAGTGAGATTATACACTATTTGTCTTCTGTCTGACCTATTTCACTTAGCATAATGTCTTCAAGGTCTATCCATGTTGTGGCAAATGGCAGGGTGTCCTTCTTTTTATGGCTGAAAATTATATGAATATATATGTATGTATATACATTCATACATACTATGAATATATGTATATATTCATAGACATATGTGCATGTGTATATATATGTTGTTTCTGTGTCTTGACAACTGTGAATAATGCTTCAGTACACATGAGAGCACAGATATCTTTTCAAAACAGTGATTTCATTTCCTTTGGCTATAGACTCAGAAGTAGGATTGTTGAATCATATGATAGTTCTTTCCACTCATCCCAGTTTGATGCTTAGAATTTGAAAAAAAATATTTCCCTATCTGGCTCCTTAATTTTCTAGGTAATTTCGGTCTAGGTTAATGCAAGTATGACCACTGCTTTTTATGCAGCATCTAAACATTTACACAGGGATAAGCCGAAGTGTGGATTCGGGGCTATCAGAATTCCTGGGTTAAAATCAGGACTCCTTCATTTGTATAGTCTTAGGCACATTTGGCTTTTATGCCTTATTTTTCTCTGTTCCTCAATTTTCTCCTCTGTAAAATAAAAATTACTATAGTAGTGTCTCATAGAGCGATAAGTTCTAAAAGAGATATTTCATGTAAAACTCTTAGCAAAAATAAGTTATTACTCAGATCTATGATGGGCAATATGTTTGCTGCCCTATGCAGAGCTCCAGTAGAAAGAGTAGAGGTGTGGGAGGATTGGGGCATTCTTTTCTTCTATACATCTTAGTGTGTTAATTTAAGGCAGAGAAGTTCAGAGTTTCTAAAAAAATACTTTTTATTGAAATATATTAACAGGAAAAATGCACATATTATAAATGTATAGCCTGAACTGATACTAAAACTCATGCTACTCTGGAAACACTACTAAATCCTAGAAACCAGTGTTTGGCATCATTTGGAGACTGAAACGAAGCAGGAGTTTGGATATTCCAAGTGCCTCCCCTGCTGGGTCTACATTAGGCTTTCCGGGAGCTGCTTAAACAGTACCAAGGTACAAGTGTAGCCATGTGAATTCCACTTTGATGATGAAGATGTAATGGCTGATTGGTTGAGTTTATCTTTAGAGCAAAACAAGAGGGATATTCCTCATATGTCATAAATTAAGACTACTTCCTACTGTCAATAAGCTCTAGTACACTATTAACAAAAGCCTTATTAATTTTACCTCGTTTATGAGACCTATAGCATATAGGTTTAGTAATTAGTAATTTAGTTTATCCCAGACATTCCCAATTTTGTCTCTCATTTTTTTTTCTAGCTCATAACAGTAAAACAAGCTCCTAGAATACTGGAATTCTGTTAGTTTTTCATCCTGCTGTTTTCTTTCATGCTTGACATGGACCAGGTTTTATTTCATGGTTCACATGTATATGACCACAATGACTAAAAGCCCTAAATACGACTTTGAGTGAGCCACAAGATCACAGCCACCCAGAATATATTCCCGAAGAGCTGCCTTGATGAGTTCTTGTTGTCTAGGCCAGCACTCCTATGCTTGGTTCACTCCTTTGAAAAAACAGATGGGAAGCAAGCATCATTTTCATGAAGCCACTGTATATACTTGAAATAGAAAATAAAAATCCTCTTTTAATTCCCCTCTGAAGTGCACATTTAGCAAAGATAAGTTTACTAGACCTTCTGGATGATAAAGGGGGCCTAACTCTGACTGAAGGGAAAAGGCTCTAAGATTCCAGGTGCGGACATTTCTTAGAGACAGAGCAGCACAGTTGAAGTAATTCCCCGTTGAGACTCCATGATAAGGGAACACTCAGCAACATCAACAAGGTGGAGGGTGTTGGGGTAGACCACACCGCTGATAATTATTATTTTTCTCAAAGCCTCGTGGGCCTGGAAGCAACTTTTAACTAAAAGTAGATGTCCTGAAGTTAAGAATACGCCTTCATCAAATCTATGATTTTACTGTACACCCGTTGAGCAGCATCAAGGCCCCAGATGAAATCAAAGTGGTTCCAGTCTGGCAACAGCTTGAAGTAATGGAGATTCCTGATCTGGGGCAGTACCCTGGCCACATCCTCAAGGGTTACAAGAACATCATTTCCACCAGCCCAGACCGCAGTGGGCACTGTCATGGCCGTCAGATCGTACAGTGGGGGACGACTCTGTGGAAGAGAGAGAAAGGGCATTCATGAGAGGAAGCTCCTCACAGCAACAACCAAATCCAAATGAGTAGAGAGGCTGCCAAATCAATACCTGCCAAGTCCACAGTTCAGCCAGACCCTGAGGAAAATAGGAAGGAAATCTGCAACGGTCTTTATCTTCAAGGAGTTTAATGAAAAAGGCAAAATAACCAAATAAACACTTGTATACAAAGTAGGATGTGTTAAATGCTGCAAAACACTCCACAAATACAATAGAAGTGAAGACAAAGAAGGAATTATTTCCAGATGGGGATTTCAGATAAAAAGAAGTCATTGAAATGACTCTTGAGTGATGGTTGGGTTTTGAAAGATTGGAAGCAGGGTGGGAGGGCTTCCTAGCTGCTAGGAAGATCATGCGTACTAGAGTGGGGAATGTCAAGCTGCCCTGTATGTACCCAGATGAGAAAACATGTGAAATAAGATTGAACATAGACGGCCAAGGTCTAAATGTCACGCTAAGGTGTTTGGACATGCTTCAGAAGTTTTGGGGACAAAGCAGGGTCATTTCTCAGAGCTCCATTTTAGGAGGACTGTATAGGTATCAGTTTGTGGAATGCCTTGAAGTAGGTCCAGAAAAAATAGTTGTCTTAAGAGCTAGCAGAATCATTTCTTTAACAATTCAATATATTCCTAAGAAATCGACTGGTCTTATTGACTGTTTTGATGTTTAGAAAGAACTTAATTTATTTGGTTTGCATTAATAAGTACTCTTAAATATGTCAGTCTGGGTAAATATAAAAGAAATTAAATTTAATGTGTTGAGTTCATACTGAGAAGCCCAGCCTCTGACTTTGAGAAAAAGGATGATGGCAAAACAGGGTTATTAAAAATACAGGAGAGCTGAAAGACTCTATCAACTTTGGTGTGTAAAGTTAAAAGAAAAATGATGCCTTAAGGCTCAACTCTTCATGGTGGATAATACTCATTTAACATTCATGTAATATGTCATTGGTATCAGGAAATGTGTAGTCATTTACTCTGCAAATTTTTGTAGATTTTTATAAAACAATTTTCATTGCGATGTACCATTAAAAATTATGTTAAAATACCTCAGTAACATTAGTTATGCATTGCTATAACTGTAAATAAAAAATATTAAAAGTTGTGTAAAAGAAATGACACTGAGAAGACTGGAATGAATTCAACAAAATATTGATACATCTAATTATCTCTGGGTGGAGGGATTATAAATTATTTAATTTCCTTAGTATATATGCTTCTTTTCTCCTAGATTTTCTACAATGAGTATACATTAAAATTAGAGAGTTTTCAAGAAGCTCTATCAGTGTGAATGCCACCAGTTACCAGATAGGATTCTTCTCACTTGCAAATAATTTCTTACTACACTGTCTCAAAATCACCCTTCCAGGGGCATTCTGAGTAACTCACCTGATTATAGTGACGCATGTTCTCAGCTTCACTTCCCCAGTCATAAGCTCTGAATTCATCAGATCGGTAGAGCTGAAATAAATGTTTTAAAGAAATATAATATTCAGAATAAGAATCATGAATGATAACAGCAAATCTTTAAAAAAAAACACTGTACATTGTGAGGCTTCTGGACCATTAGAAAGGTGGAAATACATTTTTACTACTGAGAAAAACAAGGTCAACAGAGAGCAATGATCTCCCTTGGTTTGAAGGAAAAACTCATGGAAAACCAAAACCCATAGGGGGAAGTCAAATCTCAGATATCTCTCTCTCTGGGGAAGGCTCAGATTCCTGATTCTCTCAGTTTACTTCTTGCTGTAGCTCAGGGCCTATTTTACAAGCTCTAACTTAAGACAGGGATCACTTATGTTACCTATGTGATCTGCACCATTCCTTGCCCTCTCTTTTTAAATCTAGGGAAATCAAACCATGAAGGTGTTGGTAAGGACAGAACGAAAGCCAGCTTCTAAGCTTCTTAGAGGAGGCCCACTAACTCTGTCCTTTCACATCTAATGAAAATAAGGACTGGAATGGTTCCCATGGCGAAGGCCCTACCTGTTTTATGTGCAGGATATTCTGTACCGATGATCCCGTGGGAGCGTGGGACATATACACGTCCATCCGACTCTGAAGGGAGACAAACCACATGTTACAGTAAGAATCACCTACAGGAACAAACAATGCTTTCCAGAAACAGAAACAATTCTGCTAAACATTAGTAAACAAATACTGGGGTTCTGAAAAAAGCAAGGCAAATCATTGACATAAGTCTTAGTTCATGGCAGACACTTCAACATGAGTGAATCATGGGCTGGCCAGGGGCATAGGTTGCTAGAAAGCAAACCTGCGCTGATTTTGAAACTATAAGATAATTTATTTATTTGGAAGTAGAAGAATCAATGATGGACCTCACAGAGGAAAGGTGTTACGTGCAAGTGGGCGTCACAGATCAGTACATCAAGAAAACTGGATTTCAAAATCTAATGCTGTTCATTATAATCTTGGTGAGTTTGGGCAAGTTATTTAACATGTCTAAGTTTTTGTATTTTTGTCTATTGAATAAAGGTACTAAAAACTGTGCTACCAATTTGGTGGGCTCTTGTGAGAATAAAATAAAACACTGTAAAAGAAAAGGTAATAAATAACCATTTCTGTGTGTACTGTACTTCAATCTTTATAAACATTATAGAGATTATATTACAGAGATATACTAGTAATCATAATGTTATATGTCATTATATAATAAAACCAATCAAGAGAACTATTAAAATCTTTACTTTTGAATAAGTAAGCTTTGAACAATGTTTCCTCATGGTTTTTAGAATAACTCAACTTAGTTTCTAAAAGAATGGAGTAGCGTGTGCTGGCAGGGAGATGCTTGGGACCAGCTTCACTGCCACAGTCTCATTTGCTGCCATTTGGAATATGATAGAGATAAATATCCAACTGCACTCCTCTGCAAATGTCAACTCCTCCTCCTCTTCCTCACCCTTCCTCCTCCTCCTGGAAGTCTCAATAAAAGGAAACTGAGTTGGTGAAACGGAACTGCTGCTTCTTCACAGAAGAAGGGTTCCATCTCCATTGCATTCTGTCTCTTAATTTCCAGGTTAAGTACTGAGTTTTATTTGAGGCCAAAGCCATCCAACAAGTGAGGACACATACGAAATAAGTTCAATGCTTGTATATACTTTTTTCTAGAATTTTATTTTTTTAATGCACTATATTAATTACAAAATCAAACTCACTGTCGTAGGTGATGGCTGATTATGAACATGTGAATCCCACTGCAGAACACTCATTTCCCTAAACCTGACCAGGGATGGAAGGATAAAGCTGCCTATTTATTCTGTTTCCCAATCTTTACGTTCACGGTCCGTTAAATTCCTAATCTATTCATAGCAAATCTCTGCCCTTAAGGGCTTAGAATACCATATTAATTTATGCAGTGTAATAGACATCAAAATAAGTCAAAGGAAAGTTGTAATTTCTTAAAACAATGGTCCCATGGTCATTATACATACCATATTCATATTTTTCTTGTTGAATCCAGCCCATAAGGACATTAATTCACTACATAACACCCATAGTACTTTATTGTTGCAGATTTTGGTAGAAGGTGGCTTCTCTGATTTATATTCTAAAAGGAAACCTTTGGTACCAAAAAATCTCTGTAAAAATAGAAAATAGTTATCTTTTCTAGAGCCATTTCCAGACTTTTTGACCTCATTACCCCAGGAATAAGAACTCTTGGGGGTCAATTTTTATTTGTATTTACTGTTGCAGTCAAGGAGACCACCTCATTCAGGTAAAGTAACTACTTATAAATCCACCTGCACCCAGGGAAGATCACCAGACATAATTTACAAAGAGATTGTATAAGAACCCTCAAGCCCAAATTTGCTTCTTCATGGCGAAGCTTCTCTGTAGCTTGCCACAGTATTCTGTAATCAGCCTCGTTTCTGATTTCTCATTAATTAGCAAGAAAGTCAGGATGGTTTCTCCTTAGGGTTAAATATCTCCTTGAATAGACAAAAAAAAAAAAAAAAAACCAGGGTTTTCCCCATTACCCATGTGCACACTGGTTTTCTAGTAGTGTCCCCGGTTAGCTGGCTCTTATGCTGAAAAGTGGACAGTGGTGCACCAAAGACAGGGTGTCACTGGGCAGAAAAAAATTGTCACGGGAGGCAGCATAGTAAAACTTCTAGGGCTTGGTAAAGTAACTTCATGTGGGGAATCTCTGATGAGAGAATTAGAGCAAACAGCAGATATCATGGAGTGGTGGGAGGGGTCAGGGACTGGGACTTAAAGGGGCAGGAAATTTGAGTGTAGGGGATACGGAACAGATACGCCAGGCACAGTATTTGCCTCAGACCCAATCTTTGTAGGCAAAGCAAGACATACGCAAAACTGGTGTGTTTAGAGACAGATGTGTCTGTCTCTTCATTTAATTTAACTAATTTGTCTGCCCAACTCTGTCCAAATTTGAAAAACACTGATATCAACACACTTTGAAATAGAACTATCAACAGCACAGAAGGGAAGTTATATCATGTGAGCTCACAATAAACAGTACATCAAACTATTATCAAACTAATCATTAAGTCTGTGGAAATTCCTCCCTGACTTAACTCACAATTAATTTTTTCCTCATTTCCACTGCTTCACTGTGGAAACTCGTCTTATTGTGAATTACTGATACGTAATTTGTCTCCTTGACTTCATTGTAGCCAAAATTCATTTTATCCTTTGCCCAAAATTTAAGGTACAATCTTGAAAAAAATACCATGTTCAATGTGCCAATGACCTTTTTTAGAGAAACAAAAGGCAAATGGAAAAATAAGTTTCATGGATAAAATTCCAAATTCACAATTAGCAATCAAACTGCTTTTCCAATTGCTGGAAAATAATGAATAAGTGTTTTAAAAAATAATTAAACTGTAAGACATTGAGGCTTTAAAATTATAGCTATAGTAAATGAGAGCAAGCTCCCATATGGGAAAGGTTATATTACATAAGTTTATCTAACATCAAAATCAGGGACATCTGTGATCATGTGAAACTAGAAAAGTCTTCCATTTGGACGCTGTGAATTCACTGACCTGCCCAGGTGAATGAGAATGGAAGAAAACTTATGAATGGACTTGAAACTGATACAGCACTGAGCTCAGCTAAAAATTCTGATATCAAATACATTCTGATATCAGGTCTGTTAATGACTGAGCGCCATAAATTATGTATGAGAACTGTAGATACTGTGGTACAGACAGGAACACACATGGGCACGGATCAGCACCTGGCTGCCAGATTCTGCTTTCTGTAGGTCTCATGTAAACTTCCTATTTTTACTTCAGAACAGACTTAAAAATAATAAGGATCTATGACCCCAAATGAGACCCTTGGATACATTTTGGTAAGATGGAGAGCTTACCTTGATCGCGGAACTTGGAAGTAGAAAGAAACTGGTAAAAACACTCTTGGGGTATTTGAATGAGACCACAGGACCCAAGGCAAAATTCATTTTGATTCTTTGTGCCACTTCAGGCATGGTGGAAAAGGCTATGAACCCTGAGGGAGCGGGAGACAAGATAATCTGATAAAAATGAGACATACACAATGTTTCTACTAACAAAAGTGGGGATTTGTCGTTTTCATCCTTCTAGTACAATGATCTTGGGAATGAATTGGGAGACTCTTCTGAGTTATTCTGCAAAGAAAATCTGCCATCAGTCCTCTCTCCTCTCAAGTTCCCTTTAAAAAAAATTCTGGACAATTTCACTTGCTTGGGGAAAGAGAGGGAGTGAAGGATAAGCTACCGAAGCAACTGCTGCCAAGTGAACTATGGATCACCTCACTTCCAAAGCATGGTGGTAAGTGCTGGCAATATTGCCATTTTACCCCCAGCTCCGAGTTACCAGAATGAGTCCCAGAGCTCCCAGAAGCAAAGAATCCGTTCATGGGAGGTGACTCAGATCTTTCTGCAGCATTATCGAGTTATTCCAGTTTTTCTTTTCCACAATGGAATGAGAGCTCGTTGCTCATAGTGCTTCACCAGATACTTAGCAAGCCTCCAGAATTTTCCTGCTTCCAAGAAGGAAGGGGATTTCCCTTGGTCCACTGTGGTCCCAGGAGGAATCAGGTGTCTCCATTTGCTCTGATCTTTAAGCAATAGCATGTGCTCATTGCTGTCTCTGTGAGGATGTGGCTGGGGACCAGCCCCACACAGAAGGAGTTATGTGGAGTTTCTGTGTATTCAATTTTCCAAGTGCCTTCCTGGCCCCCTACCACTCTGTGTGTGCATGTGTGTGTGTGTGTGTGTCCATAGCAGAAGCTTCTTTTTTACCCCCTGAAATTCTTATTGAAACTGCGTTGGCCAAAAAAAAGAGTTTTTTTAATCAATATACTGGGCCATTGATACAAGACTCTAAAACAGCCATAATACTTCAAACTGGAAGATCTCTGTGCATTTTTTGATGCTCATCCTCACTGGGGAGACTTATTATCAGTGAGCTGGGGCCAGGATAGCTAAGTGCCCTGCAAAGATGGGGTGAGTCTTCCCCATAAAACGAGAATTGCTCTGCCCGATGTGCAAATAATGGTCAGTAAAAACTTTTATGCCTTAAATATGCTGCAGAGAACTGATGATCAGATTTTCTGTTTTCTTGGCAGAGTAGATATAAGAGCTTGTCTAAATCTCACCCACTTTTTTTAGACCCCACTCAAGACATTCCTTCCTGCTCCATTCAATGCCCAGGAAGCTTGTGGAGCAAGTCAAACTGACCTGGTTTGAATCTGTGTTCTTTCTGTCTTTTATGTGCGAAGAGGCCTTGAACAATCCGCTTAATTTCTCTGAATTTAAGTTTCCTCTTCTATGAGACAGAAATAATAGTAGGATTGTTCTGAAACTTAGAGAGTATTATGGGAAAGTTCCTCAGCATAGGTCTCTGAACCTAGTGAATGCTTGATAAGTGTTAGCAATGATAGTATAATTATTTCCCTGTTAGTGACATTTTTTTTGAGTGGGGGTATCTCCTATTAGTTCTTTGATACCCTTATAGAATGTGCTCTCTGGTGCTCACTGCCTATTCCAAGCTTGTAAGCTGCCAATCAGTAAAAAGCACTGATAAATATATGATTGTTGTTGATGATAATGGTAATAATGAGACTACTGTAAGACTGCATATTGTCTCTTGCACAGTTTCACCCCTACTTAAATATTTTTCATATAACTGAATTTCTTAACATTGGAAACTTCAGTGAAAGATCACTAATAAATTCACATTTTTAATAGTATGGATCCCTTTACATTTTTATCTGGAGTTAGGTTATTGATCCCCCCCCCCAAAAAAGATCTAGGTAATCACTAAGACATGTTTTCAAAGAGCAGGGTCTTGGTCTCAAAATTTTCTTTTGCATGGTTCTTACATTTAATTGCTATTTTGTAACATTAAATTGCATGCTAAATAGATAAGCCCAGCTGATTTATTACAGTAAGCTTTTGTGTTCCAACTCAAAAAATGTGATCATATCTTTTCAATTTGTTCAAATATAAATATAAGCTCCTCCCTTTTATTTATTAAAAAAATCACCCTGGCTGATGTAGCTCAATGGATTGAGCATGGGCCTGCAAACCAAAGCATCACTGGTTCAATTCCCAGTCAGGGCACATGCCTGGGTTTTGGGCCAGGTCCCTAGTAGGGGGGTGTGAGAGGGAATCACACATTGATGTTTCTCTCCCTCTCTTTCTCCTTCCCTTCCCTAAAAATAAATAAATAAAATCTTGAGAAAAAACAAATCCCATGTGGGGTGTGAGGAAGCTATGATTGATGTGTTCCTAGATTATTCGGGGATTACTTTATGTTATTAGGCTTTACTTTTTCAGCTCAGAGGGAGTATGGAAACTTATTCTCTGGATACTTCTTTGGATTTTGGGTACATGTCATTCTGGGAAATGGCATCACCGTGACAACTGTGGCATTGTGTTCAGAAACGAGGAAATGTTCCCCCATACAGTCTCTGAAGTCCAGGTTTGCAGTCACCTACGGCACTAGAGTTACATGCTAAACACAGCACAGAACAGCAAGGACACTATTAATGGCTGTAACTCTGATCCAGTCTAAAGGCAAACTCTTGGAAGACTCTGACCCTTGTAAAACACTGACTCTCATAAACATACCTATTGTAGTGCCAAGTGAATGTCCAATAAAATACAACTTCTCCTGCCCAGTTTTATGTACAATGAAGTCTATTATTCTTGGGAGGTCATATTTGGCCATTTCATCAAAACTGCAATAAATAAAACAGGGGCTTATAAATACAAGTAGGTTTAAAATCAGAGCATTTGTTCACTTATTTTTACACACAGAATTCTGTACTGTCCACTTATTTGGTGTATATGTCTTTATTTATCCAACTATATGTAGGCTGTTAGTTTTTGTTCACTGCATTCATGCAGGTCACTTTCTAACAACAGGAATGACTCAAGACTTGTGCCCACTCTCCGAGGTTCAGTCTTATCGTTCCTCCTCTTTACTCCCTTCCATTGTGTTTCTTTCACTTTTCTTTCCCCATCTAGTTTGCATGCCTCTACTTCAAACTCCCCCTGCCCTGGGGACTTAACACTTTTAGGACCATTTTAATACCCCACTTTGGAAATAGAACTGGTTGTACATCATGATTCCAGCATTTACAAGCTGAATAACTTTAGATTAGTTACTTAGATGCTCTAAGCCTAAGTTTTCTTATCTGTGACGTGAACGTGACAACACCTGCTACATGTCAGAGATGCTCTAAGGTTTGGAGAGTGTTAAAGAAGTGACTCTGGCTGCTAGAAGGCACTCAGTTAGATGTTGTTATTATTCATATTTCTGTCCATGTAAAGGAATATATATTCAACCTACACCGAAATCTTATAGTACCAGTTCAGCTGGCATTAACATAGGAGAACAGTTAATACATAACATTTAATGGAGTCAAATATGGAGTCCTCTCACCTCCTGGGTGAGAGGACTGTTTGTCAAAACAACATGTGAGGAAATCCTGGGACTAATATTCCCAAGTATGAGAATTGTGATGCCCGACAGTGAACAAGACCCAAGCTCCCCACCAAGGACTGGTGACAGAAAATACTTCCTGATGCTCGCCGCACTGCCCAGAGCTCTGACCCTGACAATTCATTCTACCCTTCCTTTCTTCCCAGCCTGTCAGGGAACTGAGCATTTCATGAATATGGTAGGAATGCCCAGTCTGTTCTAGCAGTAGGTTTGCATATGAGTAGGGACTTCAGGCTCAGGAAGGGAAGCCTACTAGTGATGACAGCAGAAAACACGTGTATGGAAGGAAACAGTCACACAGCAAGAGATTCTTCTCCATTGCCCATGAACAGGGTTTTAAAGACCTCAAATTGGAATTTTTCTGAAAATGGCGTTCTCTACAGTTCAACCACAGTTTCTCTAAATAAAAAATAGTGGTGATACATGTCATTCCAAATTGACTGGCTGTCCAAGAAAAAAGACTTGCATTAGCAGCACCAGAATGAATATAAGCTTTGAGAGGTTAGGGACTTTGTTCACTTTTGAATATTCAAGACCTAGAACAGTGCATACAGTAGGCACTCAATAAGTATTGAGTGAGTGCCTACGTTGTTCACAAAAATTTCCTGAGCTGTCCCTTGTGACATACTTTAAATGTATAATATTGGATGGAATCAGAAGTTAAAATAATTGTGTTAAAATGATGTAATTTGCCTATGAGAGAATCAGTGGAAATCAATTCTTGCGTTTCTATCCTTTGAGATGTTAGTAAGAACTACAAGGAACTGTGACTTCAAATATCATAGATTGTTATTAACGTCATTCACACTATTATATTCAAAGGAATTGTCTCTAACTTTCTTTATGATTTTTCTTACAGTTTACCTAAAGGCCCAGAATTTCTCTTCAGTCACTGACAGTGTTTTGTGTCTTCTTGACCACGTGTTGCCCCGACTGTTCCCCATCCAGACATCATAACCTGCATCTGCTAGAATGAATCCGAGGCTCCCATTGGCATAATTCTCAAGCCAAGCGGCATTGTCTGCAAACAGCGCATGTTGCATGTACACAACTGGCCGTGGTCCTGGGGTAAAGGGGGGAAAGAGAGAGAGGAGAGCTATTTAGATAGATAATGAGAAAATAACTTATAAATAAAGCATATCAGGAAACATGACAGAAACACACATACACACCCCCCACACCAGAAAAATAAAAAACCAAAAACAATATTCACTTTTTCCCTGTCGTTAATGTAGAGTTCATGATCGCATAAATTTCTTGAGCACATACTTTGTACCTGGTGTTATGCCAACTGACTGACATGTAAGAGCTTATTGAATTCTTAAAATAACTCTATAAAGTAGCTACTCTTTTGAGGATCCTCATTTCACAGATGTGGAAACCACAACTTAAGGTAGTTAAGTGACTTTCCCAAGGGATCACCAAGATAACAAGGTACAGAGCCAGGACTCAGGCTCTGTTCTGTTTTGTTTCAAACACGTGCTTGCAACTGCTCCGCTCCATGTTTTCATGTTTACGTATGTTCTGGCTTTGGCTCACAAAGACGTGAAAGTCATCACGTTTTATGAAGTCCAATGCCTCTTCCAGTCCTTCCTCCACAGGGAAAGCGTGGGTGCATATAAATGGACAATCACTAATTTCTCACCCAACTTGTAACCAACCCCTGAGCTTCTACCCACTGGAGAGCATTTGAAAACTATAATAGTAAAATCAGCTCAACACTCCTCTGCAACTCTCAAGTTCCCAATGGAGAGAGTATTCATTTGGGGAGATGAGAAGGACCAGGCTAAAATGTTCCCAGAAGACACTACAGTTTAGTTGTTAGGAGGACAGGCTCTGGAGTCAGGCTGCCTGGGGTTGGACCCTGGTTCTGGCACCTGTTATTGGTTTGACTTTGTCTATTTCATAACTGGTTTGCCTTAGTTTCATCATCTGTAAAATAACTCTTAATAGTATTGATTTCATGGGGTTGCTGGGAAGTTTAACTGACTTAAATTAAATATAAAGCTTTTGGAACACTACAGCTAATACATGACTTTTAATTCCAAATCTTCCCAAATTCTCCCTCCTGGAGCAAAACCATCCCTTGAAAAATTTTTCTTCTTTTATATTCCATGCTCCCCTCTCCCCAATGCCTGAAGGAGGTTTAGTTGCCAGAGTGTTGCCAGATTTATCAAAAAACAAACAAGATAAACAAAAATACCCAGGAAGCCCTATTAAAATCAAATTTCAGGTAAACAATGAGTAACTTTTTTGTCTAAGTACTATATCCTCAAGTGGGACATACACAAAAAACTTGTTGTTCATCTGAAATTCAACTTTAACTGTCATGTTTTGTCAGACAATTTGACCAACATCACACCTTCCTCCCTCTTGCAAACTCTTGAATGAAACATTTTTTTCTGACAGAGGCAATGGCAAACAACATGCTGACAGCTGCCTGTAGATGGAAATGGAGATGGAGACGGTGGGGGACGTGCCGTGGAGATCAGCGTAGATGAATTGCCACCCAGGCTTTGCAGAAATTTTGCTCACTCTCTCTCTCCCCCTTCAGGGGCTCTGCAGTTCTACATCCCCCTTTAGAGAGTGTAGTTCCTCTGCCTGTGCATGGCTGGCTCCTCATCCTAGAATGAGACCGTGTTAGCACCATGTTCTTTCATTCCACAAACCATCATTCCCTCAGGTCAAAGCATATGTAAGTGTTACTGTTTTCTGTCATGAAAACATTTCAAACATCAACCATTTACGTTGAAGTTTTATCCTGAAGAGGGAGGCCTATGGATTCTAGTGGTGGCCAGAGAGAGTCTTTAGGGGCCACAGTCAACTTCATACAATCCAGCAAATCCCTTTCCAACAATGAGAAAACTCACTTTCTTGGAATACAGCAATTTATCACATAAGAAATAAATAATGAGCCAACAAAATGTGAGCTCTACCTTTGCTGCATTCACACCCTAACAAGCAGGCCTGGTTGCAGTCAGCAAGATCAGTCTTGCCCTTTGTACTTTTAGGTTCTTGGCTGTCTTCAGAGAATTAGAAAAGAATGAGACTCCCTGTTAACCATTTAAATACTAATGTAAGATTGATTCCCATACTTTGAAAGTCTCCATTTGAAGTTCTCTTTCCTCCCCTTGCAAAAACAGAGGGCTCTAGACTTATGAAAAATGCTCAATATAATTAATCACCAGAAAAATGCAAATTAACACCTCAGTGAGACATTGCCTTACATGTGGTGGAATTGCTACTGCCAATAAATCAACAGACAACAAGTGCTGGAGGGGATGTGGAGAAAAGGGAACCCTAGTGCACCATTGGTGGGGAGGTAGACTGGTGCAGCTGCTATGGAAAACAGTATGGAGTATCCTTAAAAAAATTAAAGATGGAAATTCTTTTTGACCCAGCAATTCCAATTCTAGGAATATACCCCAAAGATACTGAAACACCAATGCAAGAAAATATATGTACCTCTATGTTTATGGCAGTGCTATTGACAATAGCCAAGATTTGGAAACAGAGTAAGTGTCCATCACTGGATGAGTTGATTAAAAAGCTGTGGTACATTTACATAATGGAATACTATGCAGCAGCCAAAAAAGAAGAAATGACTACATTTTGCAACAGTATGAATGGACCTGGAGAAAACGATGCTAAATGAATTGAGCCAGTCAGTGAAAGACAAATATCACATGATCTGAATATGTGGAATCTGATGAACACAATAAACTAACAAATGAGATAGTGACAGAACCTTAGATACATTAAACAAACTGACAGCTGTTAGAAGGTGGGGATGGGATGAGAGATGGTGAAGGGATTTAACGAAGAACACTTATGCACTCCCGTGGACTGGGATAACAATATGGCGGATTGGTTTGAGGTGGGGAGAAGGTAGGGCTGAGTGAGGGAGGGGAAAGAAAGAAAAATGAGAACAACGGTAACAGCTTAAACAATAAAAAATTAAAGAATTAAGCCCTGGCTGGTGTGTAGCTCAGTGGATTGAGCGCGGGCCTGCAAACCAGACAATCGCAGTTCGATTCCCAGTCAGGGCACATGCCTGGGTTGCAGGCCGGTTCCCTGCAGGCCAGTTCCCAGCTGAGGATGCACAAAAGGCAACCATACATTGATGTTTCTCTCCCTCTCTCCTTCCCTTCCCCTCTAAAGATAAATAAATAAAATCTTTTAAAAATTAAAGAATTAGAAAAGACTAGTGTAAAATTCAAACAAGTTTTGATAAATCAGTCATGCTCTTAAAGAAAAGCCAGCACTAAATTTTAGTTATGTGCAGTCCTTCTTAGCAAGAGAGGCATATTTTGTACCTGTGCTGCTGGTAGGTCTTCGTCCATGGGGAATCCTGTTGATGCTGAGGATGTACCCATCTTGAGTGACGACCTCATACTCCTCACTGGGGTAGCCATTGTAGGTGATGATTTCACTCTGCCCAACACAAAGACGGCATTAGCTAAACATCTTTAAATGTTATCAATAGAAACTAGAACAAATCATCCGGTATGTACTTATTGGAGTGAATTATCTGTAACCTGTAGCACTAGATAACTGTAAAATGAATTTACTATGTAAAGTCTTGATAAAAATAAGTAGAATATTAGGAAATGTCTACTGCTGGCTTTTTGGGGGGAGGGGGATAATATTTAGCATTGACCCATTCTGTTGATAAAACTGTACTCTCAAGTCAATTGTTTTCTGAGATCCTTCTTTTGGTTAAAGATAATAAGATAATAGCCCAATAAGCATCAGTCATAAATATCATCCAGATGGCTTAAAATATAAACTTTTAATATTCTTGAAATATTACTTGTTTATAAAAATACAGTTCTGCTTTGTATTACTAGAAAGTATTATTCAGCCGAAAGAACTAATCTACCTAGCTTGACTTTTGGAGAAATGTTAAAAATCACCTGCTTATATCTGTTTTCTTATGAGATTTTCAGCTATAATAGATCCTTTAATAATTTCATAACCCATTAATCTGCTTTATTTGATGTTCTTCAGAATTTTCCATGACTTACAATATTCATCCACACTTCAGGATTCGCTTCATTTTCCAAATTAAAGAATCTATCACCATTTAAAATTCCACAAATCAAACAGGTTGTTGTTAAAAACAGCCACATCATGGGAATACCTGGCATAAGACATTTAATATCACAGATTAATTTCAAGGATTAGAGTGGAATAATGAAATCAGTATAGTGGCCTAATAAAAAAATTAACTAACATCCCGAGAAAGTTGACAAAGTGTGGAAGGGAAAAAATACAATAAGCTAACTCTGAGCATTATTAAACCATTTTTTTTCACATGAAAACTACCTTGATATAGTCCAGTTCTGAAAATAAAGTGAATTTTAGTCTGTATGAAGTCTTATTTTTTGTCTCATTTTAATCACAATTTTTCAATTATTTTAAGTCTTTGCTCACCTGTGAGTTGCCAGAACATCTAAAGATTCACACCATGGCAAAGCTAAAAGTGGAAGTAGCCTGTTGTCTAGCCAGTTTCCCACAAAACAAACAAGAACTGAAGCTTTAACCAAACAAGCTTACGATCAGTTTCTAACAATGTGATTATTTCTCTTGTGGTCACCCAAATGGCAATTTTTAAATAAATGTGCAATCTATACATTGTGGCCTGGCTTAAATCATGTCTCTTCAATGCCAGCATCGTCTCAGTGACCAGTGCTCATCACATGCGAACGCCAAAGGCCTGAGATTGAAGTCCAGCCTCACTACAAACCAGATTCCTAACCTCAGGCGAGTTATTTTTAGTGGCTTGTCTCCCTGCTCCCTTGACTGTAGACTTAAGATAATCATGTTTACACGGTTAGAGGGAAAGATTACAGGTTAGAGAGAGGATTAAGTGATATATAAAGCGCTAAGTACAGTGTAAACTCTTTCACTACTTAATCTAAGAATGAGGAAGAGAGTAATAGTAGAGAGTCTTGGTTCTAACAAATTAATGACTGACTTCTAGAAACTTAGAATTTACTTTTGAAATGAAATAAGTTTCCATCTATCTGGTTGAAGACAATTTTATATCTGTAAATGTTATATAATCTAAAACATTTTTGAAACAAATAATAGACATCTTTCGAATGCTTGGCCTGTGCCAGGCAGTGTTCTACGTGTCTCACATATGTTATTTAAACCTCAGAAAAGCTCATGAGGTAGTTACTGTTATTATCCTCCTTTTTCTAATGGGAAAAAACCCAAACACTTAGAGAGATGTAAGATCTGCCCAAGGTTACAGAGCCAACAGGGGACAGAAATACCACAAGAACGCAGGCAGCCTTCCTGCAGAGCCCATACATCTGATTGCCATGCTCGACTACCTTCTATTTGTGATAAATCTTGATCTTACCTTATTAAGTGAGCTTCCCCTGCTCCCAAGGACTCCTGTGAGTTAGGAACTTCTGATCTTTGGCATGTGACATCGGGCTGAAGAATGAGATATGGTTGCAGTGACAGTTAGAAGCGAGGTAGATAAGACAGGCACGCCCAGGGCGTCTTCCCAGCACACTGAATGCCACAGTGCACTTGTGGATTGGGAAACGATGGTCTGAAGGACGCCAAATAACCAGTTTGACTGAATCTTTTGTGTTTCCACTGAGTGTCTACCACTGCTGGGAGGATTCAGCAACATTTTGAAACCAGTGAGTCAAATGGGGAAGTAGAATGCATTCAGGATCCTAATGCACAAATTCAGACATAATAATAGCCACCTCCTCAACCCTATGGCATTACTGTGAGAGTCAAGTGAGGCAATGTACAGTTGGCACTTGAACAACACATGTTCAAACTACGTGGGTCCACTTATGTGCAAATATTTTCAATAGATATCGTAAATGAACTTTCCTCATGATTTCCTTAATATCATTCTTTTCTGTAACTTACTTTATTGTAAGAATATAGTATATAATACCTATAATGAGCAAAATATGTGCTTATCAACTATTTATGTTATCAGTAAGGTTTATGTTAACAGTATACTACTAGTAGTTAAGTCTTTGGGGAGTCAAGCATAGATTCTGCTGGGATAAAGAGTCACCACCCGTAATCCCTTCATTGTTTAAGAGTCAACTATATGTGAAGGTAATGATGTCAGCCATCTAGTGCAGAGATTTATCGACCAGTATGCCACAAGTATTTTTGAAACATGCAATACCTGACTGTGTAGTCAGACTCACTGACCTCTTTTCCCTTAGAATGTCAAATAAAAAATAACAGCCAACAATAGCTGTCTGGTCTGACTGTCCTGTCTTGAACCATGAATATATAGATCATATAATAAAGTTGCCTCTTATTGGTTATGTTGCGTAATAAGGTTGCGTTATGTTTGGCTATTCTTACTACCAGCAATTCTTATGTACAAATACAGGCACTTGATTTTTTAAAAAATCACTTTAGAGCAAAAAAGGGTAGGTGATGACTATTTTTTTTGGTAAATCAATCAAAATTACACCTATTTTTGTCAATCAACAAAAATATATATATTTTTGGTGTGTGACAGAACTTTAGTAATTAATTTATTGTGTCATGAGATGAAAAAGGTTGAAATTGCTGACCTGGTATGTAGGCATGTGAATATAACTAAATTCACAAGATGAACCATCCTGACTCCCAGCTCTTGAGTCTAGAAAGAGTTTGGAAGTAGCCCTGTGGCAGAGAAAAGTGAACCCTGTGTTAAAGAGATTCAACCTGCTGCCAACGTTGGAGCAACCACTGGGGAGCTAACGGACTGACCTTCCAGCAGCTGCCCTAAACGAGGTAGAGATGGAGACACAAGGAGAGTCAAAACTACTTAGCTTTAAGCGCCACCCGACATACTAGACAAGGGAGGCATGGCTTAATTTTCTACTTCACTTTGCCTGCCTTTAGAGTCCAAGCAGTATTTAAATCTCTTTCATCTTCCAACATGAAGAAAGGTTAAATTGCTATTCAGTGTGATACAGGAGTTTTAGTTCTATTACTTTGGACTCATGCACAAATTCCTTCAAAAACAAAGATTATCCATGTTTGTCTAAATCCTAAATCTATCCAACTTGTGTGAGAAATTTTATGCCATTTAAACCAAGGTGCAGTGAAAGGAAGCACTCAACTTGTTGGAATAGGTCAGATAGATTGGAAAGGTCAGGTACCAATCTGTCCTTAGTCTTGGTTGAAAGACTCGGCCATGGTTTGCCATGATGGACAGCCCATGGCAGAGCTTTGTGGACTTGTCTGGAATCTCTCATGAATTACGACTTTAAAATCAACCCTTTCTAGCAAGACTTCAGTGGACTCTTTGGAGAGTTCTAGGAAGCAGAGTATTATTATTAATGATGATTTGTTGCCATGACTTATTGTGGAAATAGCATAAATATAGTTAAGCTTCTCAGGCTTTTACAGACTGTGTAGACTAGCTTAAATCTCAGAAGAATTCCTACCCCATTGCCTCCTTATACTCCTTCCTCAACTCTGAGCATTATTAAATACCTGGAGAATTCTTCTAATGCTTTTGTTTGTAGAGATACAAAGCCATATCAAATAAATGTGGCTAATTTTTCCACAGTGTTTTCACCATTCTTCTTATGTAAACTTGCTATTTCAGTAATTACTTAATATATTGAAATGAATTAAAATAAAATACATTGAAACTTCTTCCTTGGCTCTGTGAAATATAAAATGAGAATTGATAATCTCTAAAAGCTCAAATTTCCCTGCTTTTTCCTTCCATAAAGCTAGATGACATTAGAGCTGGAAAAGGATGTTGGCTAAAACATAGATTAAGGGGCAGACTTTCAGAAGGCCTGTGGTATTTCTGATACCTTGGCCCAAGGACCGTATTCAGCTTCAGCAAATTGTTTAACAATGGCTGCCCATTGTTTGATCATTGAGATGGCTGGAAATATGTAGTTGAACATACATTCTTGAACTTGATATCTATTGAGAAAATGATTATTACTTTTTTCCAATGTTCTAATTCAAAATATGTTTGCTCTTATACCTCATTTCATTTTGTTTGCCTCATTCTCCCCAAAGACTGGCCACAGGCTCCCCTTTTATTAGCATATGACTGTATTAAAGGGGGCATAATTTCCCCTTCAACACAACTCAAAGTTAAAAAATAAGCATAACCAACACAAGAAGAACTACTAAGAATTTTAGAAAAAGAAATAATTTGAAACTTTACACCCTTGAGTCTTTGTATGAACAGGACCACAGAGTTTGTTGCTAGTTCACTAGGCAACTTATCTAATTCATTATGCATCCTAAAATTCAAGCAGGGCTCAATAAAGTCATAAGTGTGTGTGTGTGTGTGTGTGTGTGTGTATAAAATGATTGATTAGCACATTTTGGCTTTAGGAAAGGCATTTTAAATTACATTTTTTATTTTGATTTTTTAACCCATAAAGCAAAGTGGCCAATGTCTATAATATCTGTAAGAAACAATGTTGTTTTTGAGATTACCTGTTAGAGAGGAGCATGTTCTCCTTAGTGCTGGAGTCAATGCATCTTCGTTTCTGCTCCACTACGCCGCTCCCATCTTCAAATTCAGTACGGCTCTGGCAAAGACATCGAAGAGAGAAATGGCAAATAAAAAATTCTACCCATCGTAAATGAGTGAAATATTGAAGGTTTTGAAAAGAGGCCACAACAAGCTAATTGAACATTTACCCACCTCAAATCAAAGGCTCAGAAGAAAGATCACTTACATTTGAAGAGAAGTTATTACCAGAAGGGCTGCTTATTGTCTTTGATGACATCCACGACCCAGAGAGCCAGGATCAGGACACTATCAGTGACAAAGGTCAAAGCTTTGTGAGAATGAAGAGGAGCCATGCCATCCAATGGGAGGAAATTTATACCATCCATTCCTCCAGGCAGGTTTACCTGTCTAACTGCTTACTTAATGTGCAGAATTTATGTATGGTATTTGCTAGAGCTCATTTTGTATCTGAATTCCAGTAGGAGGTATATTCAAATGAAGATTCATTAAAAAAAAACAAAAACAAAACATGCAGAACACTCAGCCAGAAATTCAAGTTGGGTCTAGTTTTTAAATTGTCTCAACAATTTGCAAAGGTAAATAGTGATTAGACTGTAGGAAGAGGTAACAATGGCTCTTCTGATACATGCTCCT